TTTTCGCTTTCGGTGGGAAGGGGCCGTTTTGCCGCAGCCTCACCCACATCGCTGGATTTTGTGGGGTAAATGAGCAAAAATATAAGTATCTTGAAGTAATTTTGACAGCCTATTATGACGAGTTATTGTGATATCGAAAATATGAAAAAAAATCACGACAAATGGCCCTTAGACGATCATCAGCTGACAGCCAATACGAGCGTGAATATGTTAAATTTACAGGTACAGCTCAAGAAAAAGAGCTTGACATCGTGGAGAGAAGAAACTTTTAAAGAAATAACGAAATTCAAGTGAGAGATCTGTGAAGCTTAGAAAAAAGTAAGAAAGCAAAGATCGGCACTATTGCACTATTACAACCCCAGTAGGGGTGAGATGGGTCAAAAAAAATTTTCGCTGAAACTTCGGCTATGGGGGTTATCGAGGGTCCTGATCACGAATATGACATCCATTTTTGGCGCTGGCGCCAAATTGGCGCCATTTGGCGCGGCGCGACTGAATTCCCACAAATTCGCTGTAAACTTGTAGATAGGGGTTATTTGGAACCCTGATTACGAATATGACAGTTTTTGTCGTTAGCGCTATTCGGCGCCTATTTCCTGCTCGTCTGCGCCCTCGCACTAATTAGATCGCAATCAGGACTAAGCCTTTGGAATAGTGGAGGGCTCCAAAGTGAGTAAGCCACTCTCCCTATAATCACACAATTCAACTTTTGCCGCACGGTGCTTGGTTGACCCAGTACGGCGCAATCACCATTTTCTTAGGCTTATTCGTAGGCGCATCAAGTGAGAAAGGTCATGAAAGCAGAAATATGCGTTAAAACAGCGCGGGCGATAAAAACAAATGTTATATTCGTAATCAGGGCCTCAAATAACCCCTTCATACAAGTTTACAGCCAATTTGGTGAGATTCGCTAGGGCGCCTGGCACCAGAGCCAAAAATGGATTCCATAATCGTTAGACCGCCGTCACACTCGGCGAGGGACAAGCGATGGAGCTATCGCGGTCCGTCGCCGAGTCTGACGGCGGTCTTATCAGGACCCTCGCCCCCATAGGAGAGGTTTGAGCGAAAAAATTTGACCCATTTCACCCCTACTGAGTTTAAGTAGTGCAATAGTGCCCAAAGATCATTACCTCGAGAATATCTGCTGCAAAGCTCTCTTATATGCTTGATCTTGTTTTCTGTGTGCGTTACAACCAAAGCGGCTGGACCCTTCCGTCCACGCAACTGAAAGCCAGGAGAAATCAAGCCGCCATACTTTTTAAAGCCAATTCATAGAGGGAAAAAAGCATGAAGACAGTAAATACCTGGTTCTTGATGCAGACAACTAACCTCAATCTCCTTCAGCTCCACCAGCTTGTTCACTAAAGGAAGCAAATACCCAGTTGTTTTGCCTGAGCCGGACGGGTCCCATGGCCAGAAATGTGAACTCTGAAACCTGACTACAGTAATCCCGCTGGGCAAGCCGAATGCGAAAGCTCAAAGAACCCGAAAAATAATGACGGAAAGTCAACACAAACCATTGAGGACTAAAGGAATCATGTACTGTTGTATCCGCCGTAGTGTGTGAATGTAGTGTCTCAAATCCGATGTCAAGTTTTTCGCCACAGTACTTTGAAGAAAATCAATGCTACTACAAATAAATTGAAGTAATCACTGAATATCCAAGAAATGTTTGTAATTACCTCTGCGGCCGGAAGTTCGGAGGCAGATCTTTACAGCGAACGTCAAGAGGTTTACTAGGCCGTGATTCCTCTTCGGAATCACTTTCTTCCGTCATACAATAACGTGCTAAAAAATGGGTGATCTGAGAAGGTTCAAGAAGTTGGGATAAACAATAATGATCAACATGCAGCGGAGAAATTTCGGAGTCACCGCAATATTCCCTGTTAACTTGACGGTTTCTGTTATTTATGATGCACTCAGGTGCCCGTCGTACAACCGAGCGCAACCTTGAGTGCATCATAAATAAATAAATAAATAAAGTCACTGTGTGTCGAACTGAATAATCACTACGATTTTGATTATACTGCGTGTGTCGCTTTCCGCCCTAACGACCCACATGCAATCGCTACATTTGGCAAATACGTGGTTCATCTCAATAGATGCTGATTAATCTACAATGATGGAAGAACATCCCTTCATTTCCAGTGTTCCAATGGGAGGGATAATTTTGGGCAAATAAAGAACCCTCGAAAGGCTCGAAACAAAACCATACCAGAACCATAAGCGGTTATGAAAATGAATATGCTTCATGGTTTTGAACCCTTTCGGTGCTCTTCATCAGGATGTCCCCTCTCCCAACTATACCCGGCCCAAAAATTCTATTGTTCAATCAGAATCAATGAGCCGGTAGCTTTAGTAACGATCGGCGAATGTCAGTTGAGAACAAATGACCGAAATTGAAGGCCGCTCCTATGAACAGAACTAAAAAGGAAGGACAACAAGCAGCCCATACAGATGGAGTACCAGTAAAATTGATCTTTGGGTCTCATCCAGTAAAGTGGGGGGGGGCTACAGAAATTCAATTTTTGCAAGGGGAGGGAACCCCGGGGTGCGTGAACCATTTCGCTTAAGCTTTTACACCCACCCCGGAGCTTCCCTCCCTAAAAAAAGTGGATTTCTTCATGCAATATGAACTGTCGCACCACATGCCCCCTTACTGGATGAGACCCTGATCTTTTAGTCAGTCATCAAAATCATCAAAGTCTTGAAGTCATCAAAGGCCTGAAAGCGCATGCCATTCGTGGAAGTACGAGTTGAAAAAAGTTCGAGTAACCCGTAGACCCTTTTGAGCTGAAGCTCCAACAAGCCACGCACTACCCCTAATGCTAAGAGCTAGTGAGCGGAAGCAAAGGCTGTTTCATTGAGTAAAATGATTCGAAAAGCACAGTCCTAACAAGGCGAATTAACCAAAATGGTGTTCGGGTGTGCTTCGTTACGAAAGCGCCTTTCTCACCTTTTGCAGCGTGAGACTTTTTTCGTTGTGGGAACCCCAGCCCAGTCCTAGGAGGGGTGCAGCAAGCCCCAACGAGGGGATGGGGACTCATTCCTTAACCCAACGAGGGTATGAATCCCTCGGTTTACGGACTACTTGAACTTTCTTCCATGGTCCTGCCACGAATGGCGGAGGGCACAGACAGTTAGAGAACGGCGCCTGGCTCGGCTCCAAATCCCAGGGAAGGAGGTGAGAGCCCTAGGACTAAGCCTTGTAGGAGGGAGGGACTTCGAGGTGGGTGAGCCAACTACAGTGTGGCAAAAGTTTGAATGTGTGTGATCACAATGGTCATGAGCCGCTGATAAGGTGAGAGAGCGCAGACGAGAGATGGATCTGAGGCGGCTTAAAGGACCGGGTTCAAGTAGTCCGTCAACCAATCCCCTCACCCCAAGGTTGGGATATATCCCCAGTTTCGTCACAGGACCCATTAATTTTCGATGAGCCCCTATCTCTTTGTTGGCTGCACCCGGTCTCTGGGGTTCCCACAGCGAAAAAAGTTTTGCGCTGCGAAAAGCGGAAGCCGCTTTCTGTTTTGACTCACCACCACCACAGAGTTCTACTTTACTAGTGAAAAATAAGCCATGAAAAAGTGTCAATGCAATCAAACGCTCACCCTGGCGTTCGGCGAAGTAGTCCCATTCCTCGGCGGCCTCTTCCTGAAAAGACAAATTCTCTCACCCGTGTGTGCGTAACTGTCCCTTGACGTAACTTAAATCCAGCCCTATTTAATACGAGTTATAAAGCCCAGCTTCGAGATAAGATGTTTACCTCATTGAAGGCGTAGCCACTGCAATGGGCTTCATCACTCGAGTCGCTGTCAAAGTCGAACTCAAATCTGCCTGAACATAAAGATTCAGCTTGGTATCCTTCAGAACTGTGCTATAGAGCGCATGCATAGTCGGTCTCCCAATCGTAACGATCGCATAGCGTTAGATACGTATCGATCGTCCGATGTGTCCGCGGATTGGACGATCGATCACAATCAATTCTGTGTGATCGTTACGATCGCTACGATCGTACGACCGACTATGGATGCACCCACAGAGATGGTATTACAATGCCCTGATCACGAATATAGTACCTGTTTTGGACACACTCAGGACGCCGAATAACCCTGTCTCGTAAGTTTTCACCGGAGTAAACAGTGCTGGCGCCAAGTGGTGCAAACGTCAAAAACGAATGTGATATATTCGTGAACGAGGCACTGAACAACCCTACAGACAAAGGTTTGGAGGGGAAGATTTCTTCCAGTAAGAAGGGCATAGTAGTACTTCTATTTGAACATACTCTGTATAACTACCAAGCGCGTCCACTGGACGTATGGAAATAAATAAATAGTGTTGCCGAGTGCAATTGTAAGCGCGTTTAAAAGACGGACAAACATCTTCCTTATTAATGCCCCTCAGGACCAAGAATTATATAAAGAGGTAGGAGGGAGGGGTTTTAGGGTACATGAGCGTCCAGCACTAAAACTCCACAACGACAAAAAGCTCGAAGAACGGCGTACAAATGAAGCCGCCAGCAGTCATAACTCCAAAGGACTACTTGACCAAAATTGGGATTAATCAGCTCAAGCGAACGGTTGCCTCTCCTAGATGGGTGTCAGACTTCGCGTTTGGAATCGCGTCGCGAGTGGGCGTGGTGCGATCCTGTGGCCACATTTCGTTTCCAGTCAGAACAAGACGTAATCCACATTTCTTTACCAAACGAATTAATGGAAAAAATAATTTTGGTCAGCGGTGCTTCATTTCTATTCATTTTTCAGTGGCATTTGCATCCATTTTGAAATCCATTATTCGAAAGAGAGGAGAGCGACTGTCGCACAACTTCATTGAACATGAAACAAGTAGAACCACAAACATTCGTCTTCCAATCTTTACTGCCAAGCAGAATTCGCAGCAGGATTAAACAACACCTCGCAGTATTCATCGGGCACTTCCAACTCCTGTGATCCATCGCAGGTTTCGCGAAAATCGCGAAAATCGCGCAAATCGCGAAATCGCGAAAATCGCGAAAATCGCGACGGATCGCGGACTCTGACACCAGCCTAACGTTTTCCAAGCAAAGTGCCGGAAGACCCATCCGCTTGCCCAAATAATGGTTCCACAACAGCAGTGCAATTTACTGGCAGGATTACAGCTTTACCAATTCCGAAAGTTGCCTCTAAAGTTGCAGTGCTGGAATGGACGTCGGAATGGTTTTGTGGCGCTCGCGGGCGTGGTTTACTTGAGGAACCCACTCCTTGCTACCACCAACAAAGTAGTCGGGTCAAACAAGATACAGACGGTAAATCAAAATGTTCATGCAAAATCTGAAGGCTCCTGAGAGGCGGTTGTCACCCAGATCACGAAATCTCCTTTTGCCATACTTTCTTTTTTGAAGAGCTATTGAGGGTAGCTATTGTGCTCTGATAACTGTGGAAAAGCTCCAGTGAATTGCACCGAAGACTGTTTCCAAACAACTCCAAAGACACTCGTCACTCAGTGTAACAAGCCAACCGACTTTGGGTTTTTTCTCGAGTTTCTGGACATCGGCAACCAAATGTTTGCCATGTCGTGAAAGACACTCTGGAGGTCCATCGCAAGACGTAGGGCTCTTGCCGCATCGCTTCCACTGACGCGTTTTCTGGGTTTTAGAATCAAGAGTAGCCAAATATGCTTTCAGTCAAAGTCGATTTTCTCAGCCATAATCGCTGCGAAATACCACGGCAGAAATGCTCTGAAGAGATCA